AGCTAATGTTTTTGTATTTTTAGTAGAGACGGGGTTTCACCATGTTGACCAGGATGGTCTCGATCTCTTGACCTCGTGATCCACCCGCCTCGGCCTCCCAAAGTGCTGGGATCACAGGCTTGAGCCACCGCGCCCGGCCAATTTTATCTCTTTAAAGAGTTCTTATCTATATATTTTATCTATTTAAAAGGTAAAATTTGTTTTTAGGAGGGTTTGGGTTCTGTTTTTTTATGATAATTATGTGTATATTTTCATGCTGGCATACTTTAAAATGAAGATCTATCAGTCTCGCGTTTTAGTTTTGAAGTAACTTGCTACACACATTATTTTATAATGTCATCCTGGGAAGCACATTTGAAAATTACCTTTTCAAATTCAAATAATATGAGTAAAAAGCTATAAATTATTCCAAAAAAGGATTTTTATAAAAGCCATTGACCTCAAAGGAAGATTAGAATTATTTAGCAGTGAGGTTTTGTCAATTAATGTTTAGTAAACAGTATAAGCACCTATGTGATCATAGTCCAGAAGATTTTTCTATTTTACTGATAAGTTCTTAAGTTAGCGATTATAATTTTCCATACTTACTGGTTAAGGTCACTGAAATACATCTTCTTCCACCACACATATTTTGGGAAACTTTCAGAGATTGCCATGTGAGCAGTGCTCATTTTCTTTTGCAATATAAATGAATAAATCAGAAGGAAACTCTATGGCTAGTCCCATTTAAGAACATAATTTTCAAATCATGGTACATGGAACTTAGGGATTCCATGCAGTGTCGTTAAGCTTTCTTTTAGTAAAGTTTGATTGTATTAGATGGTGCCTCATTTATTTATTTGCCATCTATCACCCAGCCTTTTACAATTTTTGAGGGAGGTTATGGATTATACAGAAACACTTTGCTGGAGATATAAAACCTGCTAACACAGAGGACAAAACATTTATTCATAAGTGTATTCCAAATGCATAAATGTTACCTTAAAATTAGTTCATATCTAATCCTTAAAATCCAAATTCAGTTTGTGATAGCTAAGCCTAATGGAATATTATGAAAAACTTGAGATTTAGTTTTGACCTAGCTGTATTATTCAATGAGGACATTTTAATTGACTATTTAAATTAATACTAATAATATGTGTTTTAATAAACGGTACAAAGTATTGTTTGAATTATAATATCTGATAACATAGGATCTATTTAAAGAAACTACATGTAAAAACATATTTAAATGGTTTCTGGGTATCCTGAATTTTCCTTTATTGAGCAATGAAAGTGTAGATTATATTATTATGTTTCTTTTTTCTGAAGGTGAAGTAAATCTTAAAGTGAAATAACATGGCAGGATATTACCTAACACATGCCGTCATTCTTTTTAAAGTTATTTTAATAATAATGCATCTGTTTTTAACTTTAATTACAATTCATAAAATAATTTAAGCCTCAAATTATTTAACTATTACTATGTGGACATTAGTTCCACTTCATGGTTATACAAATTTGGAAAATGCTAGATTAAAACAAATTAGGTATTAGGTTTGAAAAATCTGCAGCTTTCTTTTTCTTTTTCTTTTTTTTTTTTTTTTTTTTGAGACAGAGTCTTGCTCTTCTTGTTGCCCAGGCTGGAGTGCAATTGTGCAATCTCGGCTCGCTGCAACTTCCACCTCCCGGGTTCAAGCGATTGTCCTGGCTCAGCCTCCTGAGTAGCTGGGATTACAGGTGTGCGCTACCATGCCTGGCTAATTTTTGTATTTTTAGTAGAGACAGGGTTTTGCCATGTTGGTCAGGCTAGTCTTGAACTCCTGACCTCAGGCGATCCTCCCATCTAGGCCTCCCAAAATGCTGGGATTACAGGTGTGAGCCATGGCGCCCTGCTTTTTTCGTTTGTTTGTTTTCTTTTGTTTTGAGATGGAGTTTTGCTCTTATTGCCCAGGCTGGAATGCAATGATGCAATCTCTGCTTACTGCAACCTCCATCTCCTTCTGCCTCCGGGTTCAAGTGATTCTTCTGCCTTAGCCTCCCTAGTAGCTGGGATTACAGATGCGTGCTACCACACCCACCTAATTTTTGTATTTTTAGTAGAGACAGGGTTTTGCCATGCAGGCCAGGCTGTTCTCAAACTCCTTGCCTTAGGTGATCCCCGCCTCAGCCTCCCAAAGTGCTGGGATTAGAGGCGTGAGCCACCTCACCAGGCCCACAGCATTCTTTTTTTTTTTTTTGGATACATGAATAATACCAGAAACTATTACATTAATATTTTATCACCTAAATCTTCCCTTTATTAATGGTAACCTAAAGTATGGACTTCTGAATATATGGCATTGGTTAATTAAGAAATATATTTACAATACTTTACCTATATATCCAATACTATATAATAGATTGATTTTTCCTTCAGCATAGTCTTAAGGAAGCATCCATCATGAGTGAGAGTTACAACTGAATGGGGCTGGAATTGTTCAGGCAATCTTATTTATTCCTTTGATACTTTTGGTTCAGTAGTCCTAAGACTTGTTCTCTTCGAAATGCAAATTTTATCTTTTCATTTGTTTTACTTATAGATACTTTTAAAGCTGTAATTTCAGACTGTACTGAATTTTACCATTCTTTTGGAAATATATGTAGAAGACTTCCTAATATAGTCAGTGCACAGGAAATAAAGTAGTAAAATAAGTGGAGCTGAAGGATATTTTTGTTTTGTCTTATTTCTATGGTCTCAAAGATGTAGTCCTCTATTGGGCATGTATCTTAACACTCATGTCAATATATTTTAAATATTTTTTATAAATCTGAAAAAGCATCCTTGTTGAATACACACACACACACACACACACACACACACACACACAATTCTGTTTTAGTTTCTGATTAATTTCTGAGCTTCTTTCATCTGCATCTAAAAAAGCAGAAAAGTAATGTTGTTCATTTTACCATAGACTTTATTCCCCCTTCAAATGGAACTCACTCAGTGCAGCTTCTCTCTTTCATAGTCAGTGATGGTGAACCTTGATGGTGATGGACTAAAAGTGGACTTATGGATACATATTTGATTGCATACCATAATGAGTTATCAGTTGTTCATTCTCTTTTTAAATCCTCTGTGTATTCTACTTAATACTATTTCTATTTATTCTTTTATTGTCTTATTAATCACCTCTCAATTTCCATTGTTTCCTGTACATTATATCCTTTTGGCCTTTTTATTTTTAACCTTCATTTTCTTTTTACCTCTGGTGAGTGGTATCTTTTGATGTATTTGGGCTCCTCTTACTACTGATCTTAATTTATTGAACTTTACTGGACCTGTGCTGTTTATTGTAGAATCATGTATAATGGGTTTCACTGTCATACCTCTAGTAAAAGAGCGGAGTTGATCTGTTTCCTTGTGAGAAACATTCTGGTGTTATAGAGCTTCCAGCTCCATTAAACTTGGGAACTACTGGCAAGAGTTTTACATTTTGGCTTGAAATAACTCCTTTAGTGGTCTGTCATTGGCTGAGAGCTCCATTCAGAAGGGAAAGGAAGTACTGCAACAGTGAGTACATTTTATTTGCCCTAAAAAGCTCATATAGTTAATAAGAGTAAACATAATGAAGAGGTTCTAGTAAGCAACACAGACCATCATAAGAATACAAAAGTTATTATTTTTTTGTACATAATTATTCTCGCCTCA